AGTTTTTTGAGGAATCTCCACACTGACTTCCACAATGGCTGTTCCAGTCTACATTCCCAGCAGTGGAGAAGGGTTCCTTTTCCCCCCGCAGCCCCTTTAGCATTTGTTATTAGTGAATTTCTTGATAATAGCCATTCTTTCTGGAGTGAAATGGAGTTACAGCATTGTTTTAATTTGCATCTCTTGAATGACTAGTGATGTTGAACATTTTTTCATGTATTTATTTGCCATCTTCCTATTACTCAATATCTGTTATACATTTAGTCCTTATTTATACTTCATCTGAGAAGTGTCTGTTTCACTGAGAAGTGAGAAGTGTCTTCATCTGAGAAATGTCTGTTTCAGATGCCCACATTTGGGTTGGGTCTTTCAATTTGGGGTGTCCACTTTTTTTTTGAGCTCTTTATATATGCTAGGTATTAGTCCTTTGTCTGAGGAACAGCTGGCAAGCTTTTTTTCCCACACTGGACTCTTTGTTCACTCTGTTGGTGTTTTCTTTTACTGTGCAGAAGCTTTTCAATAAGATCCCAGTTGTTGATTCTTTTTGATAGTTCGTGTGCAATCCAGGTTTTGTTCATAAAGTTTTTGCCTACAACAATGTCTTCAAGAATTTTGTTTATTCTATCTTTTAGCAGATTTACTGGTCTGTTTTAATATATAGACCTTTGATCCATTTTGATTTTAGTTTAATGCATAGTGGAAGATACAGGTCTAATTTTAATCTTTATCATATGGAAAGCCAGTTTTTCCAGCGCCATTTAGTAAAGAGGCTTTCTTCCCATGAAAATGTTTGGCTGCCTTGTCAAAGATAAGGTGGCCAAGTATGTTTGGAGTTGTTTCTGCATTTTCTGATCCATTCCACTAATTACCAAGCCTGGTTTTTTTTGTTTTTTGCCAGTACTGTGCAGTTGTGATTACAGTGGCTTTATAGTATAATTTCAAGTCAGGGATTGTAATATTCCCTGCCTTGCCTTTGTTGCCCAGAATTGCTGTGCTATTTTAGGTCTCTTCTGGTTCCAAATTAATTTTAGAATTGTTTTTTCTAATTCTGTGAGATATGCTAGTAGTATTTTGGTTGGGCTTTCATTAAATCTCCCTAACAATTATGAGAATACAGTGATTTTCACTATATTGATTCTTCCTAAGAACAAGGACTATCTTTCCATTTTCTGATATCTATCCTCTTTGTTCTTTTTTTTTTTTTTATTGTATTTTAGTTTTCAACATATAGGTCTTCTACTTCCTTTATTAGATTGATTCCTAGGTCTGTCTGTCTTTCGTTCGTTTGGATGTTATTGTGAGTTTTTTGATTATTTGTTTGTTTTTGTCTATTTGAGACTGGTCTGTGCAGTTTAGGCTGGCCTTGAGCTCACTTTGATTAGGCTGGTCTTGAACTCACAATGATTCTCCTGCCTCAGCCTCCCCAGTGCTGGGATTATAGGGGTACATCACCATGTCTGGTTTATCCTTGTTATTTTTATATCTCTTCTTATCTAATTGCTCTGGCTAATGTGTCCAGAACTATACTGAATAAGAGTAGTAACAGTGGACGTCCTTGTCTTGTTCCTGATTTTAGAGAGAAAAATTTTCAGTTTTTCCATTAATTATAATGTTGGTTGTTGGTTTGTCATAGGTAGCTTTATCAGATTGAAATAAAGACCATCTATTCCAATTTTCTGTAGGGTTTTTGTCATGAATGCATATTGGACTTTGTCAAATGCTTTTTCTACATCTTATTGAGATGATCGTATAGGTTTTTGTTCTTGGCTGTGTTTATAGGGTATATTGCATTCATTGATTTGTATGTGTTTGACCGTCTTGACATTTCTGGGATGTATTCTTCTTGGTCATGGTGTATAATCTTAATGGTTTGCTACATTCTGTTTGCCATGTCTTGCTGAAGACTTTTTGCATCTATGTTCATTAGAGAGATGTAGTTCTTTTTTTGTGGTTGAACCTTTCTCTGCTTTTGGTATGAGAGTGATGATTGTTTCTAGGAATAAATTTGGAAGTATTGCTCCCTTTTCAATTTCATTAAAGAGTTTGAGAAGTAGCATCATTCAGTCTTAAATTTCTTGTAGAATTTAGCAGAGAATCTGGCAGAATAGATTGGCTTTTCCTTGTTCATAGATTTTTAATAACATCTTCAGGGTTTTTGGCTGATACAGGTTGTCATGTTTTATGTCTGTGTCCCCCAGGCCTCATGAGTTTTCATTGTGCATTTGTGATTGGTTCATTGTCTAGTGCTGAGATTAATGGTGTCAGTGCTCCACCTACATAGGGGTGGAGCCAGGATGTGATGTAATGGCAGGAAGAAGGTGGGTCTGGCTCTTTGCTGGTTCTGGCTTGCTGTTTGGTGGCCGCCATGAACTGCAGCCCAGCCACGCCTGCCTGTCTTGGAGCCAACTAAGTGTGGACTGAAACCTCCAAAAACTGTAAGAAATAAACCTTTCCTTTCCCAACTTTGGGCTTCAGGTATTTTGTCTCAGCAACAAGTAAAAAGTAACCAAGACACAGGTTAATTAGAATTTTTATATCTGTTTGCTTTCTTCCCCCCTCCCCCCGGTACCAGGGATCAAACTCACAACCTTACACTTGGCCACTGAGCTAAATCCCCCAGCCCTTTTTATATCTTCTTGATTCAGTTTTGGTAATTCACTTGTATCTAGAAATACCATTGTTTTTCTTCCTATTAGAATGCAAGTTCTTGGGCAAGGATTTATCACAGGGAACATAAGCACTTGGTAAGTGCAAGGTTGTGAGTTCAATCCTCAGAACCAAAAAAAAAAAAAAAAAAAAAAAAAGCCCAAATGAGAATACAAATTCTCTAAATAAGTATTGTTCGTCTTCTGGATTTCTGCAGGATTTGTTGTAATTTCACCCTTTGCATTCTTAATTACATGAGTTCGAGTCTTTTCTTTGATTTTTTTCCCTTAAGTTTGGGTGAGGGGTTATCAGTTTTATTTAATCGTATAAGAACCAACTCTGATTCATTGATTCTTTGTATTTTCTTTGTCTCAATTGCACGTAATTGTGTGTTCTGTTGGAATTATTGTGTAATTGTAGAAACTGTCCAATTTCATCTGTGACCCATTGATTATTCAGAAGTATGTTGTTTAATTTCCATGTGTTTATGAAGTTCTTATGATTTCTTTTGCCATTGATTTACAATTTAATTGCACTATGGTCTGATGATACACATGGGATAGTTTCAGTTCCTTTGTGTTTACTTAAGCATGTTCCATAAGCCAATATGTGGTCTACTTTGGAGAACATTCCACGTGCAACTGAGAAGAATATGTATTCTGATGATGTTTGATGGAATACTCTATTGATATCTACTAAGTCTATTTTTTCAAGAGTTTTTTGTTCAGTTCTAATATTTCTTTGATTTTTTGTGTTAGTTGATCTATTTGTGACAGCAGGATAGTGAGGTTCTCCATTACATAACAGGGTATGCTGCTGTTTCATGTGTATATATTTATGATTGTTCTCCCTTAAATCAGTCTTGGTTTAAAATCTACTTTGTCTGCAAACAGAATAACTACCTGTTTTTTGTTTTTTTTTTTTCTGGGTTCCTGTCACATGGTACCTTGTTTTCTAACCTTCAACTTTCACTCTGTGAATTTCGTTTTGAGTTCATTGTGTTTCTAGTATCCAGCATATTATTGTATCTTGCTTATTGATCTATTCTGCCAGTTGTTTCTTTTGGTTGATGAATTGAGACCATCAGCATTGTTGTTTATAACTGATATGTATTGATTTATCCTTACATTATTTTCCTGTTGTTGGTTCCCCATTTTTCTCCTTTGTTTAATTGCTTGCCTTGCCTGATAGATTCACTCTTTTGGGGTCCATAAAATTGTAGTCCTTCAGAACATTTTGGAGTGCTGCTTTGATAATCATGAATTTCCTCAGATGTTCTTTGTCATAGAAGTATCCTATTGTGAGACAGGGAATTTAGCTCAGCGGCATAAGCACCTGTCTTGCAAGCAGGTGGTCATGAGTTCGATCCCCAGTACCAATAATAAAAAAAAAAGTATTCTATTGCTCCATCAGTTTTGAAAGATAGTTTTGTGAGGTACATCAGTCTGGGTTGGAGGTTAAGACTTCAAAGGCTTCACTGCAAGCTCTCTTTGATTTGACAGTTTTTGTTAAGAAGTTGCCTGTAATTCTGATGGGCTTTCCTTTAGAGGTGGTTTCTTTTCTCTAACAGCTTTTAATATTCTGTTCTTGTGTTGAATTTCTAGAATCTTGACTATTTTATGCCTTGGTGTAGATTTTTTTTTTTTATCATGGCTATTTGGAATCCTAGATGGCTTACTGTGTCAAATTCTTTTTCCCTGCTTGGGAAGTTTTCTGCCCTTACTTCCTGTGAACAGTTTTAATGTCATTTGTGCTATCTCTTGCTTTTTCATTGACTCCAGTCAATCTTAAATTACTCTCCTTTATATCATCTACTAGCTGTTGGATTGATTTATAATGGTCCCTTGCTATTTTTAAGAAATCTTCCTCTTCATGATCACTGACTCAATCCTCCCTCCTATATTTGATATTCTGTCCTCATATTATATACTTTTGATGGAATTTTTATCTCCTGAATTTCCATTTGTATCTGTTTCATGGCTTCCATTTGTTTCTTATGTTGGGCATTCATAGTTTCCCTCATCTTTTTAAGATCTTCTCTTTTTTAAATCAGATTTTATTGATACATTATATATATATAGATAGATAGATCGTTTTTTTATCATAGAAAATTTGTACCTGTGCATGATACAACTTGTTTTTTTTTCCAGTTCCCCTCCTTCCTTTCAACACCTCCTCCTCCCCATTTACAAAAGCTTGTTGCTATTTTTCTTTTTCACTTTTTTTTTTTACTTTTTCCCTCTTTGCTTTCTTCCTCCCCCTTTCCATTTTACCCTCCCCATTTTAACATTTTGTTCTTATTTCAAAATACTTATTATACATTTTGGTCCTTATTTATACTTTTAGTTTCTCACCAAAGTATGGAGCATTTTGCAGATTTGCATGTCATCCTTGCATAGGGACCATGCCAATCTTCTCTGTATCATTCCAGTTTTTTAGTATATGTGCTGCTGAAGCGAGCATATCTTTGTTTTTTTGAATCTGTATCTGCTCTAAAGTCACACTAACCGTGTCGTTCATTATGATCACTGTCTCTGTAGTTACCTGAGAAATTATTTCTGATTTGATTTTTTCTAGAGTCTCATTCACCTGCTTTGTTGCTTCCACTGTTAACCACTTCAGAGAGTCCAGGTGGGTGGCTTTGGATTGTTCCACCTCACGGCCACCTAGTTGCTGTATTCCAGGTTCATCTTTGGCCAGCTGGAAGCCTTCAGTTGCATCTTGCTTTTGTGTCTTCTCATTTTCTATTTTTTTAAAGTTTAATTTCTGGAGTGATGCTTATAAATTGTTATGCTAAGTAATTTTATTGCTAGTGTTTAGAGACCTTAGGAAATGACTACTTCTCAGAGGTGTCTTCCAGATATAGATGCTACATGTTTGGTTAGCCCCTAGTTCTTTGGCCTTATCCTATGGTATTGTTGATGACAATCTCAGTCTTGGAATACCAGGAAAAACAAATGATTAGAAAAATTTTGTTATCTTGGCTAAAGTTTTACAATCAGCAATAGCAGTAATGTCAACACAGCCTAGAAGTGATGAACAGTAGTAACTATTAATTTGCCACCTTTAACAGTAAGAGCTAAATTTGTGGTTATATAACAGTTTCTAAAACAAACTAGAAAATTGCACACAGTGAAGATGCCCCAGTGTGGCACATTTACTTTCAGTGAAGAAAATTTCAGAGGGGTTCGGGGAAAATAGACACGTAGAAAAAGGACAAGATTAGAAGCAAAACTGGAGGACGAACAAAGATTATGTAAACTTTGGGAAACTAGGAAAGAAGATAGGAAGGAAAGGGAAGGAATAAAACCAAGAACAAAACAACAAAACTAAAAACAGTGTTTATAGTCATATAAAAATAAGAACAAAAAAAGAAAAATTTCTAAAAGTGTCCGTTTCAGGGTGTGTCTGCTGTCACTGGTAGACAGGGTGGGCAGACAGAATATTGATCTGTGCTAGGTAGTCCCAGCAAGTCTGCACCTTTAGTTCCACTAAAGTTCAGGCTGGTTTTTGGCTGTGAGGCTGGAACCCAATTTGTTCAGCCTCCACACCTCCTGCTGGCTTGAGCTTGGCTCCTTGACCTACTGCCTTCTTCCACTCTGGTCTGTCTTACCCTGACATTTGGAGTGGCTAGATGGAGCCAGCCTGCATCTGCTCTGAGTCCCAAGCTCTGTTGCTCCCTCTCCGAGTTAGTCACCCTCTTCTGGGTGGCATCTGAACCCTGTTAACTCATCAGCACTGCAGTCTTACTGCCTCCGCTGCTCGTTCCACTGTTGTGTTTTTCCACAGAGGCCTTTGGGGTCACCAGTAGTTGCCGTGTGTCTGCAGGTTCAAGCTGCCCTGCCCACACAGTGGTCTAGGCTTGGAGAAGTTGCCACCTGCCACCTCTTTCTCCATTGCTGTCTCTGTCTTCACTGTCCTCATGGCTTCAGTTTTCACTTCAAGTCATTGCTGGGTCCCAGGGACCCGTTTTTCTCCTGTTTCTTTTCTTCATGTTGCTGTATTCCAGTGTCTGGACCCCACATTTCACAGAAGCTATTTCTTTGCTGCTCACCACTCCAGGGTTTTCCTCCATTTCAATTCTTAAAAAGTAAACATAAGTTAATATTTGATTTTTATTATTTATAGCTAAATAATTCTAAGTGACATTTCTAAGTTTGACATTAATGACTGTACTCTGATTTTGATTTCTCTGATAACAAGAAGTAAAGCGTTTGCCCTGACCTTAGGACTTTCTTATTTCTCCCTGTTGCCATTTATTTATTTTGGAGGAATCACATTGAAATATTACCAGAATAATAGCAGGTGATTGATGTGCAAATTTTTTTTACAGTGACCATTTACAGTTCTGTGTGGGTTGGGTCTTTTTGTACCTGAACACTCATTTGCCTATCATTTTCAACTGCAGATATATTCCACCTCTCTAGTTAAAATTAGCAGAGGAATTGTTAGGTTCAGATTATAATTGCTCTTTCTCTTCTTTTCACTTTCCCAGCCTCTGCAATACTTTGACAAGCTTCACTCCTCCTGCAAGCAGTGTTTTCAGTGTGTGTCTTTTATGTGCTGTCGACAGGCTCTTTCCGTGTTCTGCTGGCCTCCTACTCAGTGAACCACCCCACCTCACCCCGCCTCAGTGCCGGAAAGGGGAAAGAGTCGGCAGAGTCCTGTGCTTTTCACATTTACTGTGGGAGCAGCCCTCGGCCGACCCTTTGTTTTTCTCCTTCTTGGATCTCTTACCTGTAGAGTCAAGTTACCCATAAATGGTGCTCAGTGCATTGATTGTGGGCTCAGGGTTCAAATAGGCAGGTTTTCCTACAAGCATGAATTACAGAACGAGAGAAAATACTGTTTTCCTGTGAAATGTCACGTAACATTATTTATTAGACAAATAGCAATGAAATTCATTTTAATAAAAAGGAAAACTGACTCCAAATTCTGCAATTTCAGTCAAGAATTTTATTTTTTGTGTTTTCTTCTAGATCTAATATATATGCTTTGCATTGTCTACTTTGTTATCATCTGATCTCTTCGTTTTTTTAAAAAATTCAGTCCTTTTTCCAGTTTGTTAGTCTTTATAGTGATACCTCAGTGAGCTTATTTTTTCAGTAGGTGATTCATTTACATGGTATGAAATTCAAAAGATGAAAAAAGACAGTGGGAAATGAGTCTCACTCCCACCTCAGTCAGTTATTACCCTTCCCTTATTTCTTTTGACTATATATATATTTTTTTCTTTTTTCTTCTTTTTTTCTTTAACAATGATCATTTACTGTGTCCCATCCAAGTATTACCCAGGCCCAACTCTGCCTAGCTTCTGAGATCAGATGAGTTCAGGCACATTCAAGATGGTGTGACCATAAACAAAAATTTTTAAAAATGTATTGGTTTCTTGGAATCCTCTAAAGAAGACCCAAAAAATTGGGCATGGTGGCACACAACTAAATCCCAATACTTGGGAGGCTGAGGCAGAAAGATCCCAAGTTCTAGGCCAACCTGGAATATGTAGAGAATTCAGAGCCAGCCTAGACTACATAGTGAGACCTTGTCTCAAAAATAATTTTAAAACTACCAATGAAAGTTAGTGAGTTTTTTCCTAGGTAGAATACATTTTATTCTTTAAAAATTTGAGTTTAGTTTTAAATCTGTTAGCAACACTTCTCATCAGTCTGACATCTATGACTGTCAAACGAGCTTCAACTAGCAATATTTAAGCCCAAAAGAAAAAAAAACTTTTAATTTTGAGGGGAAGGGAATCTGGTTCTGAAGACAGTTAACATTATTCTGCAATTTAAAACAAAACAAAGCAGTGTTTTCATGGGTCCTTATACACCTTTCTCCTCAAACAGAATCAAGAATGTACATTTCCTGACTCAGGCAGACCCTAACACTGACTGATGCCACACTCCTCCACACACAACACATACACATGCCTACACGCACACATGTGCACACACACATCCTGTCCTTGAACAGCAAAGCTCAGAGCACATCAAAGGGACAGTGAGGTTTTTGCATGGATTCTAATACATTTGATGTACTTCAGTGTATAATAGTTCTTTTTGATGCTTGAATTGGCCCATCCTGGGCAGTCAGAACATTTCCAAATTGTTTTCTGAGTCCTTTTGAAAAAACTTTGGTTGTTTTTAATAATTTCTTTTGGTTTTTGGTGTGATAAGATGTTTCAGGCTCTTCTTGTGTCATTGATAACTTGATTACTGCAGCATATCTCATTATTTACACGTGTCATCTTGTTATGTTTAATGGGGAACTTTTAGGTTTTTCTCGTTTTGAAAGTATTATCTTTTTTTTTTTTTGGTCTTTTTGAAACAGGGTTTCACTATGTGGTTCAGGCTGGCCTTGAACTCATTTTGTAGCCCTGACTGGCCTCAAACTCACAGCAATCCTGCTTCACCCTCCCTAGTGCTGAGATTATAGGTGTGCTCTACCACACCTGGCCTCAGTAATTTTTTAGCCAATATCTCTGTTCATCTTTTTTTTTTTATCTAGGTTTATGTTTTTAGCATCTCTGTTGATTGAGTGACCTTTGATTTACATCTTTAACATGCATGTTCATACATAATTACTAACTCAAAGTTTGTGAATATTCACATAATATTGTCAGGTTGAATTGCCAAAGGACTGTGCCTATTTGAAAATTGTAAATATAGTAGCTTAACATAATGTCAACATTTTACATATTAAAATTCCTTTTTATTATTAAGTTAATCAGGCCAGCAATATCATTTGATGCTTCCCTGGCACAGCACCTGCCTGGCAAGTACAAGGTCATGGGTTTATGGCCCCCCCCCAAAAAAATGTATTGAGTTAATTCTGTAGGAAGTATTCTTGTTTGTTTGCTTTTTTGCTGACTATAGAATTGAATATAACTCCATATGCTTATTACTTATGTCCATTTTTATATCAATTTTATGTATTTTCATTAGTCTATTTTTAAAAGATAAAAACGATTTGTATTCTTTATATACTTCAAATGTTAATCTGTTATCATACTGGTGCCAAACTTTGTTGCAAATACATTAATTCTATTCTAGCCAAATAGAGACTAATAACTAGGGCTCCTCAGAAGGTCACTGCCCAAGTTTATACATTATTATAAAAGTGTTATGTCTAGACAACCTATATAGACAGTTCATTGTATTTTTTTCTAGACCCCACGTTTAGCATGGGTTGAATTTGACTTGGGTCCTTTACAGCTGTAACAGCCAAGATTTTCTCAGCTAGAATGCACTATGTGTAAGTAACCCTTACAGTTCCTTGCTTTTTGAAGTAAATCTTTCCAGGCATGCCTTCTTTCACAAGCTCATAGTAAACTTAACTAAGCTTCAGATATCCCTTCCTACTCATGTGGTTTGGTGGAACTTGAAAGAAGAACATTGCCAATAGAGTGTGTTTCTTGGTTTACTTAAGAGAAAACCTTTGATTGTTGATCATTCTACTGTCAAGCATTAAATTTTGTGTTATTTCCAGTGACAATTGGGTAAGGTTCATCATTTTTGAAAAAGTTTTTACATGAAAGGATTTTCCGGAGTATACTGAAACAAAATTTAATAAAGTGTTAAAACAGAGAGCCTGATAAATTTTTATCTAGTTTCTAGGATACTTATAGGTTATTATTAAAAGTTACCTAAAAGTAACAATTAGTATATTTCATCTATCACCTTTCCTTTGTCCAGAGAATCTTACTAATTTTTTTAATAAGTAGTAATGATATGGTCTTGCTGGTGAAATATGTATGAAACATCCATATTTCAGGAATATCATTAACAGTTTGGTCTAAAGTATGTGGGGTTTGCTATATAATAAAAATAATTGGCTAGAAGTCTGCTGTTGGAATGCTGACTCTAATACAGATGCCATGGCTTATCATTGATTCATTTTGTTCTCTTAGAGAACAATGTCAAGTGCTTTAATCTTTTCATCTCTTTCAAAACATGACACTGTGTTATGTTATTGTCAGAAACTTTGGATATATGTGTGAGGTATTTCATGTCCATGTTTTGCTCTCATTCAGAGATAAAACTTTTTTGAGTTGGCTTTAGAAATCAACAAGTTGAAAAGTGTGACCAAATTACATAATTTTTTTTTAACTTTAAAAATTTTTTATTTTGACAGGTCTGAGGCTTGAACGCAGGGCCTTTTCTCTGAACTACTTCCGTAGTCTTCTATTATTTTTAGTCAAGTTTTATTGGAATATTTTAAATTATGTAACATTAGAAAGAAACAAACATTGTATATAATATTAAGTTCTAAAACAAATTTCCCACCAGAACTTTGCATTACAGTGCTAAGGGTATGTTACCCAGTACTGCACACCATTCTCTAGCAAGTAAGGTAGCAAGTTTTTGATAGTTTCTTATGAAATCCACCTGGTAGTAACAGTGATTGTAACTCAGTGGTGCCAATTCTTTTCAAAACAAGCATAATAGGGGCTGGGGATTTAGCTCAGCGGCATAAGCGCCTGCCTTGAAAGCAGGCAGTCGTGAGTTCGATCCCTGGTACCGATAAAAACGAAAAAGACCAAAAAAAAAAAAAAAAAGCATAATAATATGTGGCCTTCTGCTATTTGTTCAACATGAACCCAAGGATAGATTTAGAACTTCTAAATTTAAGATGGTCTTCCTTTTGGAAGGGCCCCTTCTCCCTGCTGGCCTTTTGACTGGTCCATTACAGCAGCCATTGAGAGATCATGCTATTAGGTGAAGCTGCAACTGCTGCTCACTGGGTGACTGGTTGAGGTGGCTCTATTGGCCATAAAACTAAGTGAGAGTTGGTAGGAGTGACATCACTGCAAATTAGGCAGCCTAATTAGGCAGGTTTCCTGGTTCAAGACTGCAGGAATGCCTAAAGGCAAGGCCAAAGATGTCTCAGCACCTACATCAAACTAGAAAGCATTGACTTTTTTATTCACTAATTATTAAGATTTAAACTGCCAAGGGTGCACATTCTCGGGAGTATAAATTCTTAACAGTCTTGAAAAGTAAGTCAGTATTTTTCAAAAACCATAAAGATGTCCATAACATTTAACCTGGTGCTTGTATTTTTGAGAAACTGTGCCAAGGAAAAAGTCCTTAGGAAAAGTCTGTGGCTCAAAAATTTCTAAATGTCATTTGAAATACTGAATTCCCTCACAGAATCAAATAGGTGGAGGCAATTTAAATGTCCCACAAAAGCTAATAAGCGGATATAATATATAATCACTTAAAAAAAAGAATATCATGGTAAGTTAGATGTTTGAAGAACATAAGAAAAAATTCTTAAAATATTTACTGAGAAAAACAAAATACAAAAAGTATAAATAGTAGAAGTTGAACGGTGTTTTAAAATATGCTTAGGAGAAAAGACTGGCGAGAAATATACCAGGGAGTAAATTGTTGTTTTTGGATACTGAAGCTTGTTTTTAAGAAACACATTCTGATAAATTTGTTTAGCATTTTTGAAAGCAAGAGAAACATAGTTCTATTTCTCAGTAAAGGTGCTTTATTAAAGGTAGAGAAGGAATAATTAATAATCTTGTGCTCAGCTACATTGCGTTTGTTTCTTCAGATTTTTCAGATCTGTTTCAAGACGCACTAAGCAATCTGATTTTGACATGAGAAAAGTATCTCTAGATGAGGTTCTCTGAAAACCCTGGTATTCAGTTATTAGAAAGGTTGTGCCACCGTTATAAATAAATGAATTGACATTTGGGTTTATTTACTAGTCTCTTGTGGATTAGCCTGACTTTTGCTGGGGAAAGGGATCAAAGTAGCTTTTTGAACTTGTATATCTGAAGTCAGATCTTGTAGTGTTTGATCTTTACCATGATACAGCAGCAACTCTGGAACATTATTGGAAACCCTAGTAGTCTAGCCCTTTGCTTTAGTAGCAAAGGGACAGAGCACAGAAATGAAAGGGAAAAGTTGTATTTTTATGTGATGAGCTGGTCTTTGGTTTAAAAAAAAATGCAGCAGCAATAGTAGCTAGATTGGTAGTGGTAAACACATGATGTGTAGAACTCATGAGCAGGCTTAATTTTCAGTCTCTGTATATGCGTGTGTGTGCTTTTTCTTACTTGGGAAGTATGCTGGCTAAGTATATTCACTAAATATTAGACTCACTGATTAGCTTCTTTAGCTGTATTGCATAATTATATAACCAGTCATTGTTCTTCACTTGAGCTTATTTTTTAATAACAGCATTATTCAGATATAATTCACTCATTTAGAGTGTATAATGAGTTGTGCAACCATTACCACAGGCAATTTGAGAACGTTTTCCTTACCCCAAGAAGAAATCCACCAGCAGTTACTTTCCATATTCTCCAAGCCTTGCAGCCCTGGGTAACCACTAATCTACCAAAGAAATATTCATTTAACAGAATTTGGTGATTATCCAAAATGAAGATATTCCAGTGTCAAGCCAAGCATGATGGCACATGCCTGTAATCCCAGCACTCAGGAGGCAGAGGCAGGAGGATAACTTTGAGTTTGAGGCAAGCATGGACTATAAAGTGAGCTCTAGACCAGCCTGAACTGCATAGTGAGACCCTGACTCAAAAAAATAAAAAACAAAAAAATAAAACATAAGGAGAGAGAGAGAGAGAGAAAGAGAGAGAGAAGTGAGTCCAGTTGTAAAAATTTGAGGACACTGGAAGATAATTGTAACAGTGCTCAGAATGAACAAGGAAAGAAGAAATGTTTATAAAGACAACTTTTTTTTTTTTTTTTTTTTTTTTTTTGAGACAGGGTTTCACTGTGCAGTTCAGGCTGGCCTTCCAGTTTACTTTGTAGCCCAGTCTGGCTTCAAACTCACAGTCATCCTTCTGCCTCAGCCTTCCAAGTACTGGGGATCAAGGTGTGCACCATCACACTCGGCCTATTACCCTTTCATTTTGCTGTACTTGTAGCTTATTGTCAAGTACGTAATAAAAGGTATCCAGCTTGACCATTGAAGAATATGTCACGTCTGATACCCAAAAGCTTTCAACATTGATAGATAAAAATAGGATTGATTTCCTACCCATGGTTGCCTGTTTTGAAACCCATATTGCACTATGAATCCTCCCTGTCCTATTTAAAGCTTAGGTAGTTTTAGCTTTCTCTGTGAGTAGAAAATGACCATACTTGGTCATTAGTTTGGAAAGGATTAAAAAAGGTAACTCAGCTCCATGGTTTGGTAGTGCTATGAGCAGCATTACGTTGTTTGTTTGTTTGTTTTAAGGGACTGGGGATATCCAGGACCTTGTGCATGCTCGGCAAATGTTCTGCCACTGAACTACATCCTCACTCTTTTAGCTGATTTTGAAATGGGATTGCCAAGTTGCCCAGGCTGGTCTTGAATTCATGATCTTCTGTGTCAGCCTCCAGCGTAATTAGAGTTATAGGCATGCAACACTTCTCCCAGCAACTCTATATCTGTATCTATATCTATATCTATACCTGTATCTATCCTATATTATTTTTTGAGGAAGGAAAAGTTTTTTAATATGAAATACATTTGAAAACTTAATCTGCCTAGTAATATAGATAAATTTTGGTTATTTAATACGGTTTTGGTTGTAAACATTTAAATATTCTAGAAAATGTGTTATGTGATGAAACTCAGTATAGTACATTTATTTATCCATCCCAAAATTTCTTTCAGGAATTGTCCCATCTTCTGTTGTCCTGACTTCTTTCCAGGTGATGTCAAGAGTTTTTCTAATTTGGGCAGTAACACACAGTGTCAAAGAGGTAAGTAAAGCAAAATGTAGGGACACCAGGTCATCACCTCGGTACATGTTTGTCATGGCTAAAGATGGAACCCAGGTCACTTGCTCTGTAAGAATTGGAGCAAAAGGGAAACGTACACCAGATCTGCAGTGTTGTTAAAGAAAAGACTCATTAAATGGTCAAGTCTCGTGATTTTAATTCCAGTAGAGATTTGGCACAATGTGGTCTGCCATTCAGTTATATTTTTCTGGTATCTTGTTTGTATCCATCACACTAAACTTGGGGCCTCCTCATAGTGGAATGGGAGTATTGGTTTACTCTCAGAACAGCTTGACCTCTTGGAGCCAGGAGAAACAAACTGGTTTCCACTCGGTGCAGAAGGCTTGTGAAACTGCCACATGTGGTATCTGGCTGTTCTGTAGTGGCTCTAGGTCTCAGATACACAGCAGGCCCAGAAACACTCACTGTAGCAATAGGGAAGAGACACCATCCTCACCACAGGTGTGAATCTGCAAATGAAGTTTTACTTGAGGGCAGAATTTGCCTGAGGGGAAATTACGCTCTTTTGAAGTTATTTCTTGCTCAGGACACCTTGAGTTTGAGTACCTCTAGGTATGATAAAGATTCAGTTTTTAGTTTTCCACTGCCTGTGGCCTACCACCAGCATCACTGGATTCTTTGGATCCTATAAAATTGCTTAACTCTTACCAGTAGGATTATTCTGGTATGTTCTTCATACTGTGTTCTTTTAACGTTTCTGTCAAAACATTTTGTTTTTCAGGATTTATTTTGACAGTTTCATTTGTATGTTAACTAATGAGATTTTTGAAAACCTTTTATTGGCATGTGATATACAGAAAAATACACATAGCTAATGAATTCTTAGCAAAAATTTAGTTAACTTTTACTTAAGAAGCTGGTATTTTTTTCTGCATTCTCATAGGATTTGCAGATTCATAGGCTGTATTTATTTTTATTTTTATTTTTATTTTATTTTATTTGGTACTGGGGATTGAACTCATGATCTTGCGTTTGCCAAGCAGGCATTTACACCGCTAAGCTAAACCCCCGGCCCCATAGGCTGTGTTTTTTAAGATCTCTCTTACTTCCATGCAGGAAAAATGTAAAATAATTATATACTTTTATTCAGTTGATCACATTTCTTTTAAAGCAGAAATAAAGTCTAATCAAAGTATTACCCTTTGTTACTCTTGTTTATGAAGTTGGGAAAGTTGCATAAATTACAATCCTGTGTCATCTTTTCATTTTGAGTTCTTTCTACAAATTATTTTTAATCTATATTTTTTCCTCTCATACTTTTATGAGTGTGCTATTTCCTTTTTATTTTAACCAGCAACTCATAATTTCCTTCTCAATGGAGAAGCTGCCCAAAATCTTCTCCTGAATCCTTAAGGTAAGATCACTGTGTGCCTTCAGCACAAACTCGAAGGCCTCTGTGGGGAGTAATTGAGGAAGAAGTTGCTTGCTTTCACTGAGATTTTAGCCTAAAAGTTGTGAAGAACCTCTCCATATCATCGGTAATCTCTACAAAATAAAATTCTGTGCCAGAGTAGCAAGCCCCCTCTCTCTCTCTCCTCACTGTTTGCTGTCATTGGAGCCAAGGGTGTTTCCCCCGTTGTTCTGGAATGTTTCATGAGTTCTGATTTCTCTAAGCACCGTTTCCTGCTACTTTTTGGCGTGCTGCTGGGCTTTGTGACTCTTAGTCCGCTGCCATTCTTGCCACTCGGCAAGATACTTTAAAAAATGCTGTGAGCAGTGCTGAGGAGAGTAACCTCCCGTTCTTTATAAGTATACTGAGTGTTGTTTTTTCCTGTACTACAGCGGGCAGGGGTCTTTCTGGTTTGTTCTTGACCACCATCCTTGCAGATGGCCTTCCTTAGGATTGAAGGTGCTCTAAGTAGCCTTGTCATCAGCCTTGCTGTCACACCCAGCAAAAGCAGAGTTGGAGTGGATTTCGGAATCCAAGACTTCCCAGCGCACCCACACTACCTCCTTCTTGCCCTTAATATGTGATGTAAACACGTCCTCATTTTCCTTGTGCTGTCTTTTCTTACTACCCTATGGAATGGGCCGACCCAGGAGCGCATCCATAGTGCCTTCAGTAGTTCCCTTGTGCTGTGTACCTTATTGAGCTAGGCTTCTCCTGGAAAAAAACAGTTGCATATCAAATGTGTGCATTGGTTGTAGGACTGCTCTCAATGCTCTACTTACCACGGCACTGTGTTTCTGGTGTTTTGTTTTGTTTTGTTCTGTTTTACTGCTCAAGGAATTGGCCTTCTTCCTCAAAACTTCAAGACTGCTTTTCCAATTGAACTTTAAAGACTGGAACCAGAGTTTTCCAGCAGTCCTATTCTATACTTGATAGACAATGTCTGCATTTTTCAGGGAGTCTGTATTCTGATAATTTGGTGAATTCTAAAATGCCCCAAGCATACCTATACACTGTGTTGTCATTTTTGCCTGACTTTCTCATCTTGAAATTATTTCACTATTCTGTTTGTTTATTCAGAGGCTAACCAGATCTCAGCACATCTTCCTCAAGAACAAGAGCCATTGTTTCTTTTTTTTTTTTTGTCTTTTTCTTTTTTATCAGTACCGGGGATCGAACTCACGACCACATACTTGCAAGGCAGGCCCTTATGCCGCTGAGCTAAATCCCCCGCCCCCAAGAGCCATTGTTTCATTCTTGAAGAATGAGAACTTTAGAGTTTCCTTAAATTGCTAAGTAAAGTTCCTGTGGAGTTTCTGGTACCTGCTTCAAAATCTCCCATCACTGCTGATGAATAGATAGAAGAAGCTTACGGAGCCCAGTTTTAAGGCTGCCAAAGATCTGAAAGCTGACTCTTGGCACCAGAGAAACAAGACGGACTGTCTGTCCTTGGGTTGTTTGTAAGGGAGAGGGGTCGGGCCTCCAGCTGCCTTGCGCCAGGACAAGGCTGCTGGGAAAGCTCTGCTGTCTGCCCTGTAAGTTCTGGTACCCACCACTGCCACCAGGAGACTCCAGGCAGTACTGTGCAAACCTCTGTCTTCCCGGGACAATTATTGCCCTGTAGGTAATTAGAGTTCAGTCCCACAGACCATCAACACTCAGCACCCTAATTTCTGTGAGGAAGTGATGAGGTTTGACTTTCACACTTACCTTGTAGCTTAAGGCAAAGCACTGCAGCTTCCCAAGCCTCTGTTTGCCCATTTTTAAAGTGACAATACTAATACGTGCCCTGCTTGCTGTGTCACGGTTTTTGTGAAGAAAGTGAAGAGTGTGTCTATGAAAACAAAGTGGCAGTATTGGAAATGAAGGTCTCTGGCACGCAGCACTTTGCCCAGCAGCTTCTGAAATCCCTTACAGAGGGAGGGCAGTGAGACCAAGTACCGCTTCTTGACGGAGAGACATCATTTTCCTTCATTCTGTTTTCTTCTTCTTCACTCTTGTGAAAGCCAAGCCACTGGATAAACTAATGTTCTGGCCCTCCATTCCTGTTCCTGCCTTGGTTGTACCTGGGGTTTCCTGCCTTCCGGGTCATGTGGCCGGGCTCATGGGGTGCTTGTGTTCTTCCCCTCTCAGGGTTGCTTCACTTGTTGGCATCTATCCTTGGCCCTAGTCCCTAGGGGCTTCTCCCTAGTGGCCATGTGTGGTCTTCCTGGCGTGTGCTATCTGTGAGCATGGCATGATGAGGGCTGCTTTTTATGTCTGTCATTTGATGAGGAAGTGTGATGCTGTGTGTATGCGCACATCATTGTCTCCTGGGTGCCTCGCCTTAGAGCCCAGGCCCACTCTGCCCCACCCCTGTGCGCTTTCAGCAGTGACACTCCGTCCCAGTTAGCAGAGGCCACTCGGAGACACTGCCTGTCCCTTGATTCCCCTTGAAAGCTGAGTGTTTAAAATTCTCCATCCTGTTCCTTACTTTCTATTTTAAATATTTCTGTAGGTGGATTTACATCACCTTCACTTTTAAAATTAGCACTACTCCTAAAGGTAGAAAAACTTCATTATTTGATTGTTAATCAAACACTGTCAAACTTTAGGCAGCTCTTAAGCAAAGGCAGACGTGTACACCAGAGCGCCATTTCCACGTCTGTTCATCACAGCCGCTTGGAGATTATGGTACTTACCTTGTTGCTAGATGGTTTCTTTTGCGTTACCTCTACTTAATATCAGTGATTTTGTCAAAATCAAAATGCTGCTTTTCTCTCAGTATTTTTCTGTTTGTCCATTATATTTCAAAACATTGAAAAATATTTAGATTTGTTAAGTTCAATACAGATTCACTTTGCTATGTTTCCTTTCTCCTGCTGTCTTAGCTTCTTTTTAGTCCTTGGAAAATTCCACCTGACATCGTTTTGTGATAAAGTCAGTTGTGTATAAAATTTTTAAAAATTCTTCTTAGACTGTGGAAGCCAACATCACCACAGGGGACAGGCTATCTTTGTCAGTTTATAGTTAAATAGATTCCAAGCTCAGCAAAAGCGGGAAACCGGTTAAATTAACATGAATCTTCTTCTGCTGTGGACTCTCTGCCACTCCAGTCCTCCTCCTCCTCATTGTGGTGACGGTGCCAACACAACACTTGAAGCTTCTCAGGGCATTTTCCGTTGCTCTTTCACCTGGAAGTCAAAGTACTCTCCCCGGTAGTCAGCTCCATCATGAGAAGGGGCAGTTACATCAAGCAGATTCCTTGGGAAGCTACATGGTTTTCCTCATTTTGAGAAGTCACTTTCCAGGAGTGACAGCTCCAGTGTTCAGTACCGCACTGGCAGTCCCCTCTGAGTGCCTTCAGCTTTGAAGGCTGATTGGCTCCTTCCTTTCTTCTTGCCTGGGATTTAAGGGTTTGGGGGATTTTCATGTACATTATTTTATATTTTAGTCTTTTAAAATATTATGCTAGCCCCTTCCTGATGTAATTGATGTTCTAAATGCATCAGTGGAGTCTATTGCATTGCTCCTGTCTTTGATAATGAAATTTCTTACAAAGAAACTTCTTGTTGGAACACATCCTCTTCGA